AGAGCTGCTAAATGAAAAGGATATGCACAAATGTTTTAAGCATCTGTCTGTAAAACAAACTATGTAAATAACTAAAGGTACTATCAGCTTTCCTAGTATTTCATTTCCATCATTTTGAAAGTCTAGTATTTTAAATAAATTTTTGAGCTGAGGACTTTCTAAGATTGTAGCATTTGTGTCTGCAGTATAAGGATGATGTTAAATGTCTCTAAAGCTTACAGATTTTTTTTTTTGTATGTAAACACCTTGAATGTGAATTTACTGCAGTAAGGCTCTTCATTTATCTTTGTTCTCTATAACCCATCATTTCATCTTAAACTGTATTGGAAGTTTAATTCATAGTGTGTATCTGGGCATGACTGATGGAAGTAAGAGCTTGGTAACATGCAGCAGTTAGTAATTTCAGTAGGAAACAAATTGGCACCAGAACTCTAGTTTGACCATTAGTTTCTGGAAGTGGTGATCTTGAAAGCAACATGACCTTTCTATTTATCTAACATTTGAGCATAACCTAACTCCAGTCTAAATATCAGCAGTTAGGTTGGAGATCTGATATCAGCACCAAAGTTACACAACTTCAGTAGAACAAAATTATTGCCAAAATGTGTAAAGCATACAATAAACTGTTTTGATGTGATTTAACCAACCTGATAATTAAGGTGACAAAACATTCTTTGTGTGTTTTGGCTTGGTAACTTAGTTTAAGTGCCTAAAAAAAACCCTGGCAGTCTTGGGTGTTCCTTTCTATATGTCAGGCTCTGAATCTGGGGGTTCTTTAGAATAAATAACAGGGAAATTCCAGAATCTTCAGCCATTGGATTGCTGTTGAGTTTTGAGGGGAGGACTGGTGTGAGGACATTTAAGCACTTCAAGTGTTAATCCTCAACTGCTAATTAGTTCTTTCTTCTAGCTCCGCTACTCCTTATACACTCACAGTAAAGCTTGGGAAGAGCAGTAGAGAAGGAACCCATGGTAGCATAAGGACTGCATCGGACTACACTTTCTCACAAAACTGTTAAGCAGCTCCTTAAATCATAGAATCATAGAATGGTTTGGGTTGGAAGGGACCTTAAAGATCATTTAGTTCCAACGCCCCTGCCATGGGCAGGGACACCTTCCACTAGACCAGGTTGCTCAAAGCCCCGTCCAACCCGGCCTTGAACACTTCCAGGCATGGGGCATCCACAACTTCTCTGGGCAACCTGTTCCAGTGCCTCACCGTCCTCAGAGTGAAGAATTTCTTCCTTGTATCTAATCTAAATCTACCCTAATTCAGTTTAAAGCCATTACCCCTTGTCCTATCACTACATGCCCTTGTAAAAAGTCCCTCTCCAGCTTTCCTGTAGGCCCCCTTCAGGTACTGGAAGGCCGCTATAAGGTCTCCCTGGAGCCTTCTCCATGCTGAACAACCCCAACTCTCTCAACCTTTCTTCATAGGAGAGATGCTCCAGCCCTCCTCTGGTCATCTTGTCCCTCCTCTGGACCTGCTCCAACAGGTCCATGTCCTTCTCATGTTGGGGGTCCCAGAGCTGAACGCAGTTTAAATTTGAAGAAGTTTAAATTTGAATTTTAACTAGCATATAATATGTATCCTTGCTGAGTGGGTTGTTTTTTTCTTTTGTTTTGCTATTTTTAGTCACATTGAATACGTAAAGGATGGACTGAAACATATGCGTTTGAAGTTCTATATTGAGGGCTCTGAACCAGGGAAGCGGGGAACAGTTCATGTAGAAGTGAAAGAGGTATGTACAATTTCTTGGTATAGCTGACAAGCTTAACCTTGAATTTAAACTACCGAAGAGAAAAAAACGGAGTCTGAAATTGTCTTCCTTACAGAATCCTGAAAGAGGAAGATTTGAGGTCCGCTACATATTTGTGGATGTTGACACCTATCCTAGAAGAACCATTGTCATAGAAGACAACAGATAGCCAATGATCAAAGTTGCCACCTCATCTCATTGAGTATTGGATGATACTGGTGTAGCCAGTCTACACATAAATTGTTTGGTGTTCTCGATTGTATCTTGCAGCTTTGGGGTTGTGTTACAGGATGTATGTAGCCTCTCAGGGCCTCCATTAAGGTCTTTCGTAATAACAGATACAGGATTTGAAGTGAAGCCAATGAAAAATAGTAGAGCCATCACTTACGGCAAATACTTCTGACATAGGAAAATAATGGCTCATAATAAACAGTTTAATGCTGGATAATACTTCTACACACCCAAAAACTGAGTCTTCCAATATTTTAGGTTTGGATGGGGAGGTTTTTGTCTTCCTTTGCTTGGATTTCCCACTAGCACTGCAATAAAGAAAGTGGTATTTTAAGTGTAGACAAACTCACTGTTTTCATTCTGGATGCCTTTGTGTAGATAAGAAGGTAAAATAAGAATGTATGTTAGTGATGTAAATGGGATCTAGCCCAAAGGCATGTAAGAATATGGATTGTGGAGGCACATCCATGGCAAATGACTGAAGATAAAGACTTCAATATTGGTATCTTCTAAATAGATTAACAGCACACAGAACAGCAGTACTGTCTGTCCCTTCCAACATTTGCCATGCTGCTCCGCTAGCTAATGACAGTGTTGTAGCTGCTCAGCACTGCCCACGGTTTTTCCATTAACTTAACTGATCTATATCTTCTGGGAATCAGATTCATATAGGTTTACCCAAACTCAAAAGCTCAACTCATGACCAAATTTCTCACCTGGTTTTCTTCCTTAGTGCAACATGGCAGATAGCAAGCATAACCCTGTGTATTAATAATCGGACCCGGTCGTGCCCATCTGTCAAGCAGCACCAACCAAAAAATTTCAAGCTTTAGCTTCTTAACACTTAACCACTTTCTTAGACACCAACTAACGCGTTTTTCTGTAGTTGCCTATCATGTTATGAGCTTTTTAGTTCACTAGTTAATTATGCCTACATTAAGCACACAATGATGTTCAGTTATCAGCCCTTATTATGAGTTCATTTAATGGTACATTTGGACTGTTCTAAAGTTCATGCAATATTCCCTCATACAATGCCACAAATAGCGTATATAGACCTTTAGTAACACTTCACTGGACTTCAGCCATCCTGTTCATCTGTCTCCCAGTAATCTCATTTGCATAACCATAACAACTGAACATAATACTTTGTTAGACCTGGATGACTTTGCTTTATATTAAGCACTACAACCTTGACTTCAGTCAGGTCCTCATATTGTTTGAAAGTATCCAATGAAGAGGAATCACGCAGTCGTCCCAGTTTGTGAGCAGAGCAGAGTAACCACACGTTGCAGCAGAGCAGCCACCAGTGTCAACCTGTGTTAAGCTGCAAGGCATTTTGGAGTTTTGTACGCTGTATACGATGTAACTGACTTCTACTGTGCAGGCCAAAGGGAGTTTTACAAAACCTCAAACATCAGTTGAGGTTGACCAAAGTGATTTCATATCTGTTAGTTTCAGCAGAGTTACGAATTTGTCTGCTTGCTTTCATCCCTCGGTGGATGCTTGTCAAGACTTAACAAGCCCACGATTTTACACATAGTCAAAAGCTATGGAAGTCTTTGTGGGTGGCTCCCTATTGTACGTATGAGAAATGGTTGTGCTGCTTGATATATCTCCATGAAGTAACTGATAAACTTTTATTTTTACCTACAGTTATTGACATCATTAATGTCCACCTGGAAAAGTGTCTTTAAATAACGAAAGCAATTGACTCCCGTTGTCCTTTGTGTTATTTTCTTGAAAGCGGTAGAGTCAATAACACCTTTTGACTTACAACTTATGCTTACGACTCTTCCCAATTCTTAGCATTACACTTGCCAAAACGTTTGTTTCAGAAGAAATTTTCAAACCAACCTAATTGATTTATAACCCAGTAAAAAAAAAAGAAGAAAATATCTGAGGCCCTCATTGTTTCATTGCAACCTGCTGCAGTACTGACTGATAGCGTTACATACCACGTTTACCTGCCACCGCTTATGTCCAGTTGCTATAAGCATGTGTCATACCGTGGCGGTCACTGACAACCACCTCTGCAAGAGTTTTGTCACGAATGCAAGGCGGAGCAGGTTTGTCAGAGCACATCAGAAATTTTGCAAGCTATGTAAGTTTATAATCTAATACTAAGATTACTAGCCTTAAGCCTGTACTATACCTTGATAAAATGTAATCATTCTTCACTTTTTACAAAGTAAGACTATATAAAAATACACAGTTCAAACTAGAAAATGTAATACTATATTTGCCCTTCCTTTATGAGTTTCTACCATATCAAGCTGCCTGAAAGCCATTGTAAACCTCTATGTCAACAACAGACCTGACAGGATAGGTTTTTTCCTGTAACTCTGCATCCCAGCTTTGCTTCCTTATTAATCCAGCTGTGGCTTGTTTTCAGTGGACTTCACTGCTGGAGAAAGGAGTACTTCCTAAAGCAAGATGTAAAAAACATTTTTTATAGTAAATGGTATAGGTACAGTAAAGAGGCCAGCTGTCTTTCGTCTTGTTTTAGAGCCTTGTTTGCACTGAAGAAAGAGACTGTCAGGACTAGAAACTTTCTGGGAAGGAAAAGATGATGACCTCACATAATGATGTTTTTCCAACAGTGCAGGTACGTGAAATTCTGCGTCAGGCTTGTGGTAAAACAGCAAGAATTGGCCATTGGGGTTAATGTGTGTATTTGGCTTCAGCTTGAGAAGACAGACTAAGAATTTGATTATTTGCAACCAGATTTATTTACCTCTTTTTTCAGTAGCAAGGACTTCCTAACACACAGAAATATAATGTATTTCAAGGGTTGTGTGAAAGAACTGTCTATCTGGAAATCAGATCCCTGGTTGTTTGGTCCCTTTGAGACATCAGAATAGAAGTTTTTAAAGTCGTCCGTAAAGCTGTCAGTACCATAGTTCTTGCACTAAGCGCCCTTGTCACACTTCGGCATTTGTGTCGGGCCCCGGTGTCATGCTCCCTAACTGGGAATAAATGCTACAGTTACAGGTGTCAGAAGAAGTCTTAGCAAAGTCAACATAATGATTCTGTCTGGCCCTTTGGCAGCCAGTCCAGACCCGTATGAGAAAAATGAAGACAGACCAAAACTGGCAATAAGGAAGAGACATGAGTGTAATTTAAAAGGCACGGAGGGATGTGGAGATGTCCACACTGCAACTGACCTTCACAATTTCTTGATGATGCTATGACTGTCTAAAAGCAAAGTACAAACCTCTGTTTTATACACTGCATTTCAAGAAACTGGAGCATCCAGAGAAACAAGTCAGGGGATTACTTTCAAGCTTATTTTTGGTTAGGGTAGCCCCAATATGACAGGGTTATAAATAAAATGTTTCTCATCCTGTACTTATATGGAGTGCACTGTTGTCATTTTCACAACTCATCTTTCTCCCGTGGAGTTGCAAGAAAGCAGGTGGGTGAACATACTTGCTAAAAGCAGCAGGATACACAGCCGTAGTGGCACCCTCCATACACTTCATAACAAACAAAACATTTCACAGGCTGGAAAAAAGCCGCAGTAGAGGAGTATATCATATATAAATCATCTTTGTATATCATCCTGCTTTGTAAATAGCAGAATAGTAGAGAGGCAGGATAAGATTTTGGAGAAAGACAACTGCATTATAAATGTAAAATTATAATTATCTCCAGGAACTGCTAATTGCTCTTTCCTAGCTAAAGCTTAACCCTCTTTTATTTTGTTGGAGTCCAAGGAGCACAGCAAGTCAGTCAGTTTCCCCCCTGGTGGGAAGGGGTACAGAGCTCTCTCAGGGTGCCTTCAGTCATCTCTTTGCTGAAGCTGCATTACGCACCCTACCATGGTTAGGACTAAAAGTTATTCACAGACTAGGGGAGCTATAACACTTGCAGCCCTATATCTGACAACCTCCTTTCCTCTTGGCCACCTCCCTCAACATCATCACCCCCACAGAGAAAAGGGAGAAAGATCTCAGTGTCTGTAATTAGCTTCTGACATTCACATAGTTATAATCGGTGACATGGGCTGTGCCCCTGGATGAATTGTGTAACACAGGTGGTCTTTTTACCATGCAGTGCTAGTTGCTCTCCTGTTGGCAGAAGGCCACATAAATGGAGGGGATTTTGAGCTCTAGAAATGTTCTCCTGTAATTTCAGGAGAACATTTGGCATTTCCTTTAAAGTTGCCTTTACTGTGGAATAACTGAAGTGCTCAAGAAGTAGTGTACTCCATCAGTACGCTTTGTTTTCAAGCCCTGTTACCAAAATGCTAGCTAAATGCAACAGTAAAAGAGATGGGCATACATGTACAAAATGTTCAGGAAGCCAAATGGTAGTGAGACCTTCACTGGTGTCTCTTTAAGAAAATTATCTAGCCTTAAATATCGTTACCTTCCAAATGTTCTGAAAAACACAATATTCCATTTAAACTTCTCTCCTTCCCATCTTGTCTACATCTAGAAGTAGTATTTATCAGGATGTCCTGAGTCCATAAAGTAGTTCTCATGTTTTTTTTTTTACTGCCTGCATCCCCTTGCTAGCTAAACAGATATACGAGGGTATTTTTCTTTATATTTCTGGAATGGGGGGACATAGCTCTGAAGGAAACAACTTTTCCTGCTCTGTGAAAAAGCTGACAATATACTTATAAAATGAAGGCAAAATAAACGAAGTAGCAGAAGAAATCCACCTTTACCTGGGCTTAGATATATTAGCGTTCTTAATTTGGACAAATGACAAACACAAGGCCTAAATGCTTTCAAATCTCAGTGGAGGAAAGCTTTGGGAAATCCTTTTTCTAGTAAAATCTCTTCAGTGAAGAAAAAAAAGGAACTTCATAGCCTGATTTGTCATCCTCCTCCTAGATAGATACCTATCATCAGCCAGGTTATTTAAGCCCCATGAGATTTCAGGGGTATTAAAGTTTTATATATATGTAGTTTGGCTGAAGAAAAATAAGTTAAACGACTCTTGTTAACATAGAAGCCTTGTGGGAACTAGTTATTTCTTTCCATATTCCTTGTGAGGCTGGACCAAGCTGGGATCCATGTTTAAAAAAATATTTTCTCAAATCCTGTTTAAAGCAAGCAAATACATGGGGACACCTTCATCAACATTAGGTGGAGGAGATTAGTCCAGCAAGACATGCGGTTTAGAGAACATTGATCTCTCTGCGGTACTGCTTTACCTGGTTGTAGTTTTGCAGTGGAGAACAACTGTGTTCACTGAGTTTAAACATAGTGTTTTAGAACGCCCCTGTTGCAATTTTGAAGACTGTTAGCCTAGATTGTTCCTTAAAAAGTTGTCCCTGCTTCACTGGACCGTTGTGCTACCAGTAAGCCGTGCAGAGCTCCTTCTGCATGGCAAGGAGCTCAGACTGCTCTGTCCTCTCACTGGATGATGCTTGGCTGGGGAGAAAACAAAGTAGCTGGAAGGTTCCGTTTCACTTTTCGGTGAACACAAGCAACAAACATTTCAGTGTTTCCTTTTAAAAGCTCGCTCTTCTTTTTCCCTGGGAAAGCACAAAATTATAGCACGTGCCAGTTACTTTCTGATGTAAAACTGTCATGTTATTGTTACCAAAGCTGTGGAAAAAAATAACTGCCAGGAAGTCAGAGCCAAAACAATGACATTTTCATGGAAATTAAACACATTTTCCAGAGTTAAGTTTTGATCGTTGCAGAATTAATAAATACATACATGCTCAAAACGCTGTTCTCCTTTAGAAAATGAAAATATGTCACTCACCAGTGAAAAGCTGTTTTTCCAGAAACATCGTATGGCAGACTACTCAAAATGTGTTTGAGGTAGGTGTGCAAACTCATCTTAACTTTCCTGTCTCTGCCTTCATTTTTGTGGATGCCAAAACTTGTGTATGTAATATAGGCAGCCAACATCCTTAGAGCTGGTTTGTGGGAATAATAATGTTACTCTGTCATCTACATGACCTCTATTTGAGTCTAGGTCCTGTGTATACTTGCTGTACCGTGACAAAAAAAATATACCTTCAGGAAATTAATTTTGTGAAAACTTTAAAATATCAAAAAATGACTACTCTTTTACTAAGCTTCAGTAAACAGAAGGTCATGCAAAGAAAATGAATTTTAGACTGGGAAAGAAAAATGTTGTTGTGCATGACTGATTGAGTTTAAAAATGACCTTGATACATAAATAATTCCAGCATGGAAATCAAGTTTCAACAACCGATTTAGGCAATGGAGTCATGATCTTGGGAATGGTTGCAAATAAAGCCATGTCTGATACAAGAAACTTCAACAAACTCACTTAACAAACAGAGAAGACAGAAATGTGCACAAGACAATTATTGTATCACATGCCAACTGCAGAAATAAAAAGACAAAGAAGATGTGCTGGGAGTTTTCACAATTATTTTCAATTCACTTCGTTCTCAGCCTCATCTCACTATCACAAGGGATGCCCTCCATCCTAATACTCAAGGGATTATTCCGATGTGTAAATTATCAGCAACCTAACCTATTAAATATTAGGTCCAAAAAACATTGGGGGCACATTTTGAGTCAAAGCCCACTTTTAGGATTCATTACAGCCTGTAAGCTGATGGAAACACATAAGGAAAGCACAAAGATTTTTTTTTTTTTTTTTAAAAAAAGGTTAAAGCATAAAAAGTTTCAAGGAGCAAGTTTAAAGATGAGAGTAAGGAATCATAACTGGCCTCTGTATATGGGGTTGGGAAGTCTGCTTGAAGATCTAGAATACAGTTGGCACTGGAAAAACAGGAATTTGAAAGCAAAAAGATCCCCCCCCTCCTTTTTTTTTAATTAAAAAAAAGGCCTAATCCCTAGGGAGATGTTCACTAGCTCAGAATAGACAATTATAAAACTCCAGTGCACATTCTCCTTAGGCAGCTGGGAATGTATATCATTATGATATAATATACCAAGGAGTACAAAACCATGATTCCAAACTGTTCTGTAAATAATTGAACAGCAGAACTATTTGATAGTTTTTCTTAGGAAGTTCTCAGGTTTTTTTAATTCTGTATGTGTTATGTAAAATAATCTATAGGAATTACAGAAACATGTGAGTTAATACTATCCTGTATTCAAATTAAGTATATTTAGATTTTCTTAATAATAATATACAGTTAAAAGTTGAAAATGTAGCAAAAATATTTTGCAAGTAAAAGGAAAGAAAAGGAAAAAAAATTAAAAAGCTTGTTTGGAAATCTTGTGGTTGTCCTAGGAGGAGTACATTTGATTCCCTTCATCTCCTACAGGTCATCAAGGAACTGTTGTAACTCAACAAATAAAAGAAATAAGCACAAGTACCTGTTTCAGTAAAGCAGTTCAGTTTGGAAGGCCTCTGCTTGCTGTGGATCAGGTAAAGGTTTATATCCTCTCAGTGTTCAATATCAAACTACCACATTTCATTTTAAATATCCACATAAAAAATAATACGGAAAAAGCATAGTAAGTAAGCTTATGATTATCTACATAAAGGAGATGACACAGTACATCTAAAAGAAAGTACCAGGGATTTTAAACTAATAGAAAATGTCAGGTTTAGTTGTCATATGTGGCAAGTACAAATATTTACCCGTCTATATAAAAGTTTGTTGTATGTATTTTGATACAGGCTTTTGCCTGAGGTGGGGGTGCGGGGAGAGCACGTGCGCCCCTGTCCCTCTGGCTGGGGGTGGGATGCCCTCACCTCCTCCGCCCAGAGCCATACTGTGGCAGGTTAGCCGTGGCCAGCACCCAGACTCCCACCCGCCTGCTCCACCCCCAGCGGGTGGAAATGGGGAACAGCAGGAACGAGAAATCTTGGGGTTTGGGATGAAGACAGGGAGAGCACTCGCCAATTGCAGTAGCGGGCAAAATAGACTACAAAATTAACTCAATTTATTGCCAGTTATTGGCGTTGTTGTCTGCGTTGCCGTGCGGCGCAGCAGCGCGGGCAACCTGCCGCAGCGGTGGAGCACCCAGGGAGGCTGGCGGCGGTGGCGCCTCTACTTCCAGATCACGCACACGCATCCACCTCCGCGTCGTAAAACCTCCCGGTACTGTGCTGGGAAAACTTTCCAGGATAATCATGTTTATCCAACCTCCATTTAATTACAATTCCCCTTTATCTGAATCACAGTTATGTTCTCTAGCATGAATTGCCTTCTTGTACTACTCGCCACAATTAAGTCCATTAACCTTCATTTATCCAAGCATGTTTTCATTTTTTATAGGAACGGGGTAGTTTTGCAATTTCAATCCTCATTCTTTTTTTCCACTAAAACCGTAACAATTTCAGGCATAACAATGTCTTATTACAGCTGTTTAATAAGTGTATACACAAACTAAATACGTGGCTATATTCCCCGAGATCTGCTTTG